GAGGGAGGGAAATCTGAGATTTCCTTGGTGATTTATGTAAAATATACAGGTCAGATTAAATCCAACATGACCTTCGGGTGGGTGTTCTTAATAAAAGGCAGATGTTCCTGCCAGCCCTTAGCTCCAAAAGAAGAAAGGTCTTTTGCAATGAACTTTGTAGCTGTGCAGGAAATCTTGCGTATGATGCTTGTATTGAGATGTGGAAATAGACATCTTGTAAGTCAAGGACTGGAAATCAATCTCAAGGCTCTAAAGATGGAATAATTGCTGCTGTCGTGACCATCTTGAAAGTTTGGGGCTTCTTTGTATTTAAAGACCTTAGATATAGAATGGGGCTCCACCCTCCCTTCACACTAGGTATGAGGAAATAATAGGAGTACATCCCCTTGCTCCTGAGTTGCACCAGGACTGGTTCAATAGCATAAAAAAATGAAGAGATTTCCTAACAAAGTAGGTTTGCATAAGAAGGGTCTCTGAAGCAGGATAGGAAAGGAGGGTTAGAATAAGAGACATTAATCGAATGGCATAACTTCAAAATAATCACCAGGACCCATCTGTCAGAAGTGGAACAAATGCAATAAACAGTACCAGATGTCTTCTGAAGGAAGCTGACAGGTAAGTAGAGGGTAGCTGACGTTGCAAGGTAGAATTGTTTAGGTCCTCAACCAACCCACCAAAAATGTTTGCAAGAAGTGGTTTTAGAGGTAGTGAACTGGGTGGTGCAAAGTGCTTTTGAGCCCCTCTTCTCTTACACTGCAGCTCACAACAGCACTGAGATGGTAGCTATTGTGTGGCCCAAAGATGCAACTCTTTAATACTGCAATGTAGTTCCTAGGGAGCATAATGTGGTCAAGAAATCCTTCAGGATGGTGTGCAAAGAATCTGTCTTCTCTGCCAAGAGTTTGGGCCCTTCAAGTTGGAAGTCAAAAAGGCGAAGCTTACCTCAGTACCAGTCTCATAAAGACTGGGCAAGCTGCTGTATCAGCTCCTTCCACTGTTGTCTCTAGAACCAGTCTGCTTGTTAACTGATTCTCTTCAAGGATGGCCTGAAATTGCGACATTTGTGTCTCCAGTAAATGTTCCAGAAACACACTGAATTTCCCATAATTAATAAAATGGTATTTGACCATAAATCTGATAATTTGCAACTCTAATAGTAATGTCTCCGACAAATCCATCATCCTGCCATACGCAATTGTATGTGGTAGAGTTGTTATTATGTTGCTTCCTTCATGCATTAGCCATATCCACTACAATGCAGTTGGGTTGTAGATGTTGAAACAAGAAGTCAGCCACTTTGGAAGCGATTGAGAGGGAGAGGGAATTCCTATTGCTTTTTTGAGGGTAGATCTGCTGCTGGTTCATGAAATGGAGGCTGGTGTCAGATGACTTTGATAGGATCTAAAATCTCCACATTAATTGGGGAAGGGTAAATTCTGAATGAAGAGGAGTTGTGAAGAATATATCCCGCAACTCATGATGTATGTCTGCCACATCCTGTACGGGAATCTGCAGCTCATCTACCACCCTCTGGACAAGATCCAGAAAGTTCTTTAAATCATCACTTAAGCTTTGTCTACACTGAATATGCTAATGAAATGCTGATTAGCATATTGTTGTGCTTCATTTGCATAATCTAGTCAAGCCATTTTTGTGCAAGGGGTTTTTGCACAAAAACAAGCAGCATGGCCGTTTCCTTTTTGCACAAACCACCCTTTTAAAAACCTTGCAAAAGGATCTTGTGCAAAAAGGGTTGTTTGTGCAAAAAGGAACTGGCCCAGAGCTTGTTTTTGTGCAAAAACGGCTCAGATTATGCAAATAAAGTGTGACTATGTTAATCGGTGCTTCATTTCCATACTCTGACAGCAAAAACTGGCAGCATAGACATAGCCTCAGAGTTGGAGAAGGAAGAGGCGAGGCAATACAATCTCATCTGATGGAGATAAGTCTTTTGGCGAGCTTGCTTCCTCTTCAAGCCCTTCTTCCGGTTCTGAAAAAGCCTCCTCCTCTAGCTAAAGGTCTCCTACAGCCTAGCCTGGCTGTCCAGAATTCATCAGGTGGACTCCCAACAATGCACAGCCACAATGTGTGTGTGTGTATATATTGACCAAGGATAGCAATAAGGCAGTGGGAAGAGCAAGCATGGATGAAGGGTACCAGCGGCTGGTACCACGATTATGGGTTGGTGTGATGGAATTGAGGAGAATCATTGTATTGTGATGGTGGGCCATGACGAGGGGCCAGCAAAATTACTTCCTCCAGGCTACTCTCAGACTTGTCACTGAATAAGGGCAGCATTGAATAGGGTATTGGCGGTATATAGCCGGATGCCAAGAGCGATTTCAGGTGCCTTAATGTCCTCAGTATTGAGGCTCTGGTACTGAGTAATGACGATTGTGATCCTTTCCCAACCACCAGATCCTCCAGGGTAGCAGAGTTCATGATACCCTGAGCTCACTTGGTATTATGCAGGATTGGCACTTTTATCCATGGTACTTTTAATCTGTAACAGTGGTTTAGAACAGATGCGTAACACTCCCTAGATGGGAGTTTTCACACCTGGTACCAAAAGTTCTCTCTGTACCACTCTTTTAGAGATGGCATGGTAATTGTCTTTCCCTGGGTACCAGGATTCTAAAGCTTCACTTGATACCCCAGAGGAGTGTCTGTGGAATATTGTCACTACCAATTGTTGTGAAGGTGCAGAGCACTCCCTTGATGGGAGTTTTTTCCACAGCTGGTACCAAAAGTTCTGTGCCACTTTTTAGAGATGGTGCGGTAATTGTTTATCATCTTACCATTGTCTACGGGCTTGTGGCCCTGGCTTCTCAGGTGGAGGGGGGGGGGAGAGAAATACAGCACACCGCCTTCTGAGTACAGAATTTCAGAGCTGCTGGTGCTGTGGGTACAGAGGTGAATGCACTGGAGAGCCCCTCTGGCTGGCCAATGACTCTGAGCCCTCTTTACAAGTCTTTAAGGAGGGAATCTTCTAAGATTTTTTTTCTTAAATAACTCTTTGAAGTTAAAGCCTCCAGGGATGATCCTTCTATACCAGAGTCCTCTGGAGACTGAAATGCCTTCCCCATAAGGAGTTTTAACTTCAGATCCCAGTCCCCACGAGTGCGCCATTTTAGCTGTGGTCAGACGAAGCATTTCTGCAAGACTCTCAGAGGCATCAGATTCAGTGAGAATATCTAGCTGTTTCAGGAACTACTTGCACGCGAGGCACCTCTTAGAGCTGTGAGAGATGAGCACGCCCATGGGCAAGAGGAATATCAATTTCTAGCAAGAAGGAATGAAGACAAAAGGTCTTCTTTATTCTTTTTTTTTTTTTAAACCAAGGGCAAAAGTAACTTACATTTCTTACAGGTACTGTTGTATTACCAACCACCTCCTTCTCCCTGTCCTAAAAAGTGGGGACAGGGGAGAGATTGTCATAGGACACTACCTGTCAGAAGTAAGTGTGGAGTGGAGTGTGGGGGGGCTCAGGGAAGAAGGTTGAGGTTGGGGGGGCCGCACAGGAATTGCAGCAGGGGGCTGGGGACAGAAATGCAGGAGCCAGAGTTAGAGTGTATGAGGAGGGGCTCAGAACAGGAGGCTGGGAGTGTGTGTGTGTGGGGGGGGAGGAATTAGGGGGCTGTAGGAGTGGGGGGAGGGGCGGGGCAAAGATGCCATCAGGAGTGGGGAAGCCCTGCAGCTGCACTTATCCCGGTCGCTGTGTGGTTTTCTCCTATGTCATAACTAGGGAGTGAGGGCAAAAGGCTGCAGAGCCTGCTACGTTCCTCACTCCTGGCTGCCCAAGAGTGGGGCAGAGGAACACAGCAAGCTCTGTAGTACTTTGCCCTCACTCCCTAGTCACAGCAAACAGGAAGAAAAAAAAACCACACACACAGCAACTGACTAAGTGTAGCTAGAGCCTCTCCAACTCCGCCCCCTTCCCCTCCGAAAAGGCAGCAGCAATAGGGAGCTCAGGGCTGGGGGAGTCCCAGACAGGGTGCGCCCTCAGCAGCCTCCCTAATCTACTTGGCTGCCTACTTCTAGCACTGCAGGAAGCCAAGAGCTGGGCTGGGAGTGCCCTCTCCTAGTAGTCAAATGCCCCAGCCACCTGGCTACTTGCCAGAGTGCTGCACTGGGGCACAACAGCTTACTTTCACCTCTGTTTTAAACTGAAAAAAAAATTAAAAATTAATTCTTCCAAATATGGTGAGAAGAGGAGAGTGGGAAGATGTCCCCGGAGAGGATGTAAAATATAAACTTTTCTCTCTTTCCTTGGCTTTTTCCCCCCCAGAGTAAAAAAAGGAAACACTACTAGGGAGAACAAAAACAACTGCTATTTATGTTAATGATACGCATAAGAAAGAGACAACTGCTTGCTCCATTGGAGGCCAAAGGCAGTTGAGAAGGAAGTGGGGAGATTTCACCAATGCAGTGCGAGATGACCTCACAATCCAGGAAGGTGGGAGAGTACATGTAAGGGCTCAAAGAAGGCTGCTACCAAAAATCTCCAATACGTTGAAACACTCTAGTCTGGCACTCTCCAATCCAGCATCATCTGTGGTCCAGCATGATTTTAGTTAGCTGGATGTCTACATATCATGGGTGTGGCTAAATTGCCTGTGGTACCATAAAGTTTATTTACAACCATCAGTCCTGCCTCTCACTTTTCTGTGCTGTTGTTTAGCTTTATTTTTACCCCTAAATGTGTTCTAAGATCCCAGGGAGCAGTGGAAGAGTTATTAGACAATATTGACCTCCCATGGTTCAGTAAATTCTCTGGTTTGGCACCGGTAAGGTTCCAAGGGTGCCAGAAAAGAGGTGTTGAACACAACCTATAATGAGGCATTTATAAGGACACTATTCAAAGATAATGTCTTGTTATAAATCTAGTCAAGTTCAAGTTGAAACAAATGAACAACAAAGATTGTTACCAAGTCACCAAGGAAAGATTTCAGCTTACCTTCCCATTAAACCTTCCCCAAACCAGGAGAATTCATTCTTACCTGTTAACTGAATGTCTAGTCAATTCCTCCAGCATTCATCAAGGTTTACATTCCTCCTGCCAACAGGTACAGAACAAAGTAACTTGGAAAACCTTGAGATACCAGTGCACAAAGCAACATCTGCTTTACTCGGAAATTTCCTAGAGAGAGGGAGGGAAAAGAAAGTAGTTTTATGCTCAGACAGGTAAAAAAAGCAGCAACAGATTTTCAAGCCTAGAACAGGATGTTTTTTTTGTTGCACTGGCTGTATTAAAACTGCAATACCAATTGTCAAAAACATTAGTATAACCTGTTAACCAAAATCTTTGATTCTCTAGTCCAGCAGCATCTGTGGACCAGAAGGACCACGGATGTTTTAGGATCAGTAAGCCCCAGTGCCCAGGAGCACAAACCACGCCCCCAGGGACTTCCGGTCCGGCAGGGGAGAAACAGGGTCACAGAGCTCTGGTTGGGCAGGGCAGCAGTGGGACCGGTAAGCCCCTATCCTCAGCAAGGATCCCCAGTTGGGCAGGGGAGAAGCGGTGCCATAGAGGCTAGGGAGCTCCATCCCTGGGGAGCCCTGGCTGGGTGGAGCAGCAGCAGGACCGGTGAGTGGCAAAAGTGGGGCAGCCGGCAAGCCCTGTCCCCGATGATCTCCAGTCAGGCAGGGGAGAAGCAGGGCCGCAGCAACTGGGGAGCCCCAGCAGGCTGGAGCCCAGTGGCAGTGGGGCTGGAACAGAGCCAACTGCAGGGAGGAGAACCATCCTCAGAAGCCAGTGGCAAGGGACGTCCCCATGCTCAGCAAATTCCCTCATCAGGGACAGGTCAGGTCCCAAGGGTGCTGAACAAGGGAGGTCCAACCTGTAGTCAAGATTCACTCAGGACAGAATACAGCTGAGGAGATTTTTTTGGTTGAGTAACTGGTTTCAAGTGGTATTTGGGCATGCTTAGTTAATTTGTTGATAAAAGGCAGCTTTCACATTTCAACAGTCAAGGCTCTTTCTTTACTATTATCAATGTGAATTAGAAGTATTGAGATCTATATATGGGCTAGATTTTGATTTTCAAGCATAAATCCAATTCTGCTGAGACACTAGAAAGAGCGCTAAAGTGCGTATAATTAACATTAATGCTCTTTGGGACTTGGACTGTCTCTATGAGATGTTTGTAAAATGCTTACCCTTATGTGAATGGGCCCTCAAATAAATGTAAAATTACAGCCTTGCGTCACCCCAGACCTAAGGAAGAGCTTTGTGTAGGTTCAATAGTTTGTCTCTCTCAAACAGAAGTTGTTCCATAAAAGGTATCATCATCCACCTTGTCTTTCTAATACCCCGAGACTGACATAGCTACAACACTGCATAATAGATATTTTTAAAATTAACTCCAAAATATTTTAAATGCTGTTTTCACAACAGAAAAGAAAAATTAGTCATATAAAATAATATCAAGTAATCCTATGCTGCCTTAGAGACTAACAAAAATATACAGAATCACGAGCTTCTGTGGGCAAAACCCACTTCTATCATATGAGTTAATTCTATTCTAACAGAATCCAAGATGCATATAACAGCAAGAAGTAGTAATTATCAATTGTAGGACCTATGTTATTGAGGCTAACTAGGTAGGCTGGAAGTGTCCCATTCATAGCTTTTGATTCATAGCTCTCTGTAATTGCTTAGTGAAATTCCTTTGTAGAAGAATGGCTACTTTTAAATCCATAATTGGAATGACTAGGCAGGTTAAAATGTTCCCATACAGGCTTCTGTGTGTTACCATTTCTGATGTCTGATTTGTGTCCGTTGATCCTTTTCCAGATTGGCCAATATACATGGCAGAGGGGCATTTCTACCACTTGATAGCATATATCGCATTAGGATGTGCAGTTGTACGAGCCCCTGTTGTGGTTAGGTCCTGTGATGGGTGTCACTTGTATAGATATGTGGACAACGTTGGCAACAGGGTTTGTTGCAGGGTAGGTTCCTGGGTGAGTGTATCCAATGCTCATACAACTGCACAAGATATTTTTTGTGTCCACAATATCAGAATATTTACATAGCATCTGTCGTGGCCACAGGTGTGTCTGCAGCATACCCTAGGGCAAAAAGGGTAAAGTAGTCATAGCCATCCCTCAATTCCCTCACTGATTCAGAATCCTAGAAAGGTAAGATTGAAGAATCAGGGATAAAGGAATGGTCATGAGATGCACATGGCAAAACATCTTGAATAACCAGTTATTGTAAGGTTATTTTTTGTTATTTGCCCATGTGAATCCCATTTCAGGTGACTAGCAAGCAGTGTTCCATCTGGAAGGAGGGCACTGAAGATTCTTAATTACCACTAGCTGAAGAGTGAATGTAAAAATGTAATCCCAATTTCTCTCTCCGACCTGGAGGCCAGGTCCATAGCATAACATTTCACAAAAGCAAGGTTTTCTGAAACATGAAAAGGCAGCAGCCTGGGTTCTTAATAGAATGAACCCAGAAGACAAGACAAAGAATACTAGTAATTTAATAACAGATTACATGGTGTATTTCTATATATTTAGATATTCTCTATGACAAAACAGCTTGTCCCTTAACTACTTTGATGAAGAGGAGTGTCTAGTCAGATAATAGAAGGCCTTTGCAACACCCAGAACACATTATTTCTCAAGTGGAGTGGGATTCTCAAAAGAAAACAGGAAGAAAAGAGGATTGGTTTAGGTAAAATTCAAACAATTTTGGGAATAAATTTAGGAGACCATAACACCACTTAATCTGTGGATTACTGCATCGGGAGAGAAAATACAAACACTTGGGAGTCCCTAATCCTTCTTGTTGATGTAATGTCCACACAAAAAAAAGTCTTGAGAATAACATTGTAAAGAGAGCACTTAAAAAGGGAACTTCAGAAGACCTTTCATGACTGTTGAGATTTTAGGAAGAAGTCAGCTCTCTAACTTGTGGGCAGAATGTGATAAATTCTTTTAAAGAGCACTAGGTAAGAGAACACAATACAACTAAACTGGAGGGTGGTGTGCTGAAAATTTTTCAAAGTGAACTCTGACTGAATAAGGGTATGTCTACACTACTCCGCTAGTTCGAACTAGCGGGGGTAATGTAGTCATCCGCAATTGCAAATGAAGCCCGGGATTTAAATTTCCCGGGCTTCATTTGCAATTGCGGATGACTACATTACCCCCGCTAGTTCGAACTAGCGGGGGTAATGTAGTCATCCGCAATTGCAAATGAAGCCCGGGATTTAAATTTCCCGGGCTTCATTTGCAATTGCGGATGACTACATTACCCCCGCTAGTTCGAACTAGCGGGGGTAATGTAGTCATCCGCAATTGCAAATGAAGCCCGGGATTTAAATTTCCCGGGCTTCATTTGCAATTGCGGATGACTACATTACCCCCGCTAGTTCGAACTAGCGGGGGTAATGTAGTCATCCGCAATTGCAAATGAAGCCCGGGATTTAAATTTCCCGGGCTTCATTTGCAATTGCGGATGACTACATTACCCCCGCTAGGTCGAACTAGCGGGGTAGTGTAGACATACCCTAATACACACATCCTGAAAGAAAGCAGGTTGTTCTACAGGTTGAACCTCCCTGGTCCAACACCATCAGGACCTGAGCTGTCCTGGACCAGGAAGTTTGCCAGACCAGGGGAGGTGAGTGCTCCCCCAGCTGGCTGCCCTGCTCCTGAGCTCCTCTCCACGGGGCTCCCTATGCTGCCGCTAGCCCCACTAAAGTTGGCCGCCACAGCTCCCCACCTTGCTGTCCGTCCACTGCCCCAGGGCCTCCCAGGGATATTGGAGGAAGCTGTCTGGTCACCCGGCCTCTGCTGCCAACAGGGGTTTCCGGGCTGGGGCCTCCTGGCCGCAGGCAGCCCAACTGCAGCTGGGGAGTCCCCAGCCATGTGGCCCTGCTAACACCAGGGGTTCCCCAGCCCAGGTGGCGCTCCTCTGCTGCCACCTGGCCCTGCTACCATCAGGGGTTCACTGGCAGGGGCTGAGGTTACCAGGCCACCTGGCCCCATTAATCCTGGGAGTTCTGGGCCAGGGCAGGACTCCCCAGACGCTGGTTGGCCTAGCTGGGGCTCCCGAGCCTCTGCATTACTCCAGGGATCTTTGCCCAGCAACATCTCTGCCCCTCCCAGACCACAGATGTTGCCAGATCAGAGAGACCCGGATTTGGGAAGTTCAACCTGTACAATATCTTTAAGAATGAACTCCTAGAGAATAGGAGTATAAGCTACCTTTTACATCTACCATTAGATCATAAAAAAGGTTAACAGATTAAAATTTTAGACTTTAAATTACTTGTCAGGCTCCTCTAGTGAGAAAAGTACTTTTTTGGTACAGCTTGCTCCAGTTTACTGTTATTAAGAGGTTAAAATTCAAAACAAGTTATTTAACCAGGTGCCTAAACTCTGATCTTAAAAGTAATATTTTGTAACTACAAAGTTAAGAAATTTTCTAAGCAAGAGGTAATACAGGTCAAACCTCCCTTGTCCGGCACTTTTGGGTCCTGAACCACAGAATTTGCTGAACGTGGGGAGGTCAAGGCTCACTACTTTTGTGTAGGATTCTGCTCCTGGCTGAGGCTGTGCTCAGTACAGCCTGCCTTGCTGCGTCAGCCACTCGCCCCTCCCGTGCCCGCACCTACGCCAGATAGGGGCCACCCCACTGCCTCCAGCCCCAACCAGGGCTGCACTGCACCGCACCTGCCCCAACCAAGGCTACACTCCTGACTGACAGCCCTGTCTCCCACCATGCCACCCCACAGGGCTGCGCTCCACACTGCCAGCCCAGCCCAGGCTGCACTTCTGAAACTGCCAGCGGGGGCTCTCTGGTCCTGCCAGATCACAGATGTTATTAGACCAGTGTGCGCCAAATTTTAGAGCTTCAACCTGTAGCTATTCAAAATAATTCGTATAATCTTGAGTTCCACCAGTTAAAATCCCAAATTCTCTCTCTGCGTTATCCTAGAGAAATGAGATCTATATCCAAGAAGGTGTGGATCTTTCAACATTGCTGCTTCCTTGATTTTGACAGTGGTTGACCACTGAAGAAGTTGCTTTCCTAACCACAGCACTGCAGATAACTATATCCAGCTGTGTGACCTTTACTTTGGAGGAAATAGAAACAAACATAGTCTTCACAATGGCATTGCC